GCGCGTGCCCCGCCGTGAAGGCGCGGGGCGGGGGCTGCGGGGCTGCGCTGCCGTTTGCGCCCGGCGCGCGTGTAACTGTCTCCGGGGCTGAGCTAATGTTTGGCCTTGGCTTCTGGGGAGTGTCCTTGCCCAAAGCGGGGCGACAGCGGCGGATTCAGGGCTGACCGAGGAAGCTGGCGACAAAACAACATTGAACTTTGCCCAGTGGGTGTGGCCCCTGGGACCGGCGGGGGCTGCAGCAGTGGAGGTGTTGCGCCCCAAGCCCGTGGCCCCAGGGGCCGGGGAGGGGGGCACAGGCACGAGCTGCTTTCGTGGCGGCGTGCGGCGCTCGCGCTCTGGGTGGGACGCGTGTCACTCGCGCCCTGAGCGTGGATGGGGTCAGCCGGGCCTCCCCGGGCTCGCAGCCCGGGCGGGAGAGGGTGGGTGGCGGAGCTGTCCACGCGAGGAGAGGCCAGCGAGGGGGCGAGTGTGCGCGAGGGTCCTTCCTCCGCCCCGGCCCGACTCCGGGTCCCGAGCGCGCTTAGGGGGCCCAGGGAGGCTGGGGGAGGGGACGGGCTGCCCGCTTTGTTCGCCTGGTTCTCGCGTCCCCAGCGCTGGGGTGGGGGGGCCGAAGATGTGTCCGGGGCGAGTCAGGGAGGGACTTGGCGGTGGGGGTGGGAAGGGGGATTCCGCTCCAGCTGCTGCGGCCTTGTGCAGACTCAGCCCGGCCACGTGGGAGGGTGGGAGGGAGGCGGGAGGCGGGGGGACCGAGCCTCCGCGGGGCGGCCCCAGGCCCATCTCCAGCACAAGCGCGGCTGGGAACGTGTGGGGCATTGGGACCCCTTCTTTCCGCAGAGAAGCGCCCCTGTCCTCCTGGGACTGCGGAGTTGTCGGGTGAAAGAGACCAGGAAGTGTCAGGCGGCATCTGTCCTCCAGGAGCCCAGGGGATTAAGGAATAGTTGTGCTACACACACACACACACACACACACACACACACACACACACACACACACACACCCCTTTGGTTCTTCCAAGAGCTTCTCCAACGCGGCGTCACCCAGCAAAGTGGGACAGGGCTGGGCAGCGCACCAACACAGCAGGGTGCTATGGGGACCTCTGGCCAGGCGCTCGAAACCTGGCCCCTGCCAGCGCCTCATTGCACAAAGCGGAACGGACCGCCGCGGAGCCCCTTGAATGGGTACAGCAGCTACTCTGCTGGCCCCGGCCCCTCCCGTGAATGTGCAAAGCTCGGCAGGCACAGGGACACTTCTGCAGAATTCTGCCTGGCCGCCCTGACGTTCATTCCTCCATGCGCTGCGCAGCGAACCGCTCTTACAGGCTAGGGAGTGCCAGCTGCCTAGAACTCAGTAACTAAGGAGACAGACTGGGAACCTTCAAGGCTGGGTTGGGGTGGGGAGCTGGGGGACAACTGTCAAGTGCCCTGCAGAAAAAGGGCTCCTGAGTTAGCCTGGGAAGGTCAGGAAAGGCTTCCCAGAGAGAGTGGTGATGATCCGGGGCGGGGGGATACTGTGGAGGGGGAGGCAGCCCCTGTGAGAAGAATCCTGATGTTGGAGACCATTTCCCAGAGAACAGTGGGTGTGAACACAGGCGGGTCAGTTTCCACCCGCTGCATGGAGCCGGATCTGGCTGGGGTTTAGAACACAAGGCCCGGGAGTCAGGCAGGTGGAGGAGGCACGGCCAGGGGTCATGGAACGCCGGGAGGGGAGGCTGAGGAGGGTGGCGAAGCCCAGCGCAGTAGGCCAGTGTCACCTCAGCCCTGGTGGAGCATGAACTTCGAAGGGTGGAGGCCAGAAACCCAGTACTTGGAAGGTGGCTAGGTCGCCCTGAGGGGAGGCGGGTGGCAGCTGGCTGTGGGGTAGCCAGAGCGGTTACATTCTAGAGATGTTAAGGCCATGGAGGCCGAGGAACATGAGGACAGGTCGAGTCTGCATGGAGGATGGCAGACGGCAGGAAAAGTGGCCGAAGTGGCTGGGGAATCAGACCGGGAATGCAGGGACTTTCATAGGAACTGTCTGAAGGCGGTGGTGGGAAGCTGAGCTCTTTTACCACATGTAAGAAGCGGGGTCCTCCTTCCACCCGAGTCAGGGTGTGGAGCCCCGGAAGCCCAGAGGTCAGCAGTAGAGGCTCCAAGTACAGGGGCACCTGGGAACCCTCCTTCCCTAGTACCCCTTTCTCAGCTCAGAAGGGGGCCCCTCAGATCCATCTCAGAGGTTCGGGGCTAGGTCAGGTGCTGGCCATGTCTCTGAATAGTGACTCTTATCTAGCCATCATCTGACCCTTTGCTGATCCTGTATACACTTTTGTGGCCCAATTAAGCAATGTTTTGGGGTCGGTTAGCATTTCCTGTCCTTTCTCCTAAAGTTATCTCTTTCCAGTTAAGGAGTCTCATGATTAGGACATCATGGAATGTCAGCACTGAAAGAAATGCAGAAATAATTTTAGCATGAGCCCATTTTACAGGTGAGAAGACCGGTGACTTCCCAGAGTTCCACAGTTGACAAACTGAATTCACTAGGGGTGGAATCCATCTCCCAGCTCTTGGACACTGCCCTCCGCTGTGTGGAGCAGCCGTCTTCCATTCCCTGGTGGGGTAGGCACACACCCTTGAGTCGCCTTCTCTGGACCTCTTGAGAAGTTACCAGCTTTAGGCCCACCCCCCTTGGTCCTCCATCGAGGGCCAGGAATCCCTCCTCCCCCCACCTGTGGCCTCTGATCCCCTCCAGCGCCTGAGGTACAGAAGCCAGACTTGACAGGGAATCCCAGATGTGGAACGGATCCAAGGTGGGCCTGGGGGCTCCCAGCTCCCAGGGGTCGGAGGAGTAAGAGTGGCTCTGAGGGAGAGGAC